CCAGCTCCCTCTGCCTCGCTCTGCTCGGGCACTTCTTCCCGAGCCTGCCTGCGCTGAGCCACACCAGTGTGGGGGAGAGGGCAGCAATTGTCTTGGCCCGAAATGAATGGAAGCCCCCCCCCCGGGGGGGGGGGACGAGCTTGAACTTGGGCACGGAGGACACTAGGGCCCGGTGCCAGCCCTTTCCCGACCCTCTTCCCACCCAGGTCCCCCACCCAGTTTCCGCCTCTGTCCCCAACAGAGATCATGCCTGGAGGGCGGAGTCTGGGTGCCTCGAGCTCCCAGGAAGGGGCGAACGGGCGGGACTTCGCGTTGCCCACGTCTCGGGGCGGGACTAGACGGGAAAGGACTGCGTGTCCAGGGTTCCCTGTGCCTGGCCTATCCTGCTTGCAGCAATAGCCCGACCTTCCTTTCCCTTACTCAACCTCTTCCCATCTTTTTTTTTTTTTTGTCTTTTTGAGACAGGTTCTTACAAAAGAGCTCTGGCTGTTCTGGAACCCACTATGTAGACCAGGCTGGTCTTGAACTCACAGAGATCCAGCTGCCTCTGCCTCCCAGGTGCTGGGATGAAAGGCATGCACCACCATGCCCAGCTCTGCCATGGTTTTTTTTTTTTTAAATCTGCTTCCTTTCATTTAATCGTCTGTGTGTAGTATATTCTTGTGGGCCTATATGCCGGTGCGGGCTCTTGCTCTCCACCTTATGTGTTAAGACGGTCTGTCACGGAATCTGGAGTTCACTGTTTCAGCTAGACTGGCTGGCCAGTGTGCTCCCAGGGCCTCCAGCACTGGGGGGACAGACAGCCATCACCACCACAATTGGCCTTCATGCCAGTGCAGGGAGGGGATCTGAAGTCAGGCCCTCATGTTCTGTGACAAGCACCTTACCCCAGCTTTTTAGAAAAAAATATTTATTTTTAATGACATGTATATGTCTGCATCTGTGTACAGGTATGTACACCTGAGCGCAGATGTCCGCAGCGGCCAGAGGTGTCCCCTAGACCTGGGGTTACAGGCAGCTGTGGGCTGCCTGACGTGGCTGTTGAGAACCAAACTCCATCTGAAAAAGGAATACTGGAGCCATTTTTCCAGCTCTGTCTTATTTATTTTGAAGCAATAGAGGGCTGCTTGTTTATCAGTTACCAAGACCCAAGGTTCAATCCCAGTAACCCAGACAGACAGACAGACAGACAGACACACACACACACACACACACACACACACTGAAGTAGAACAAAGCACAGAGAGGCAAAAAAAAAAAAAAAAAAAAAAAAAGAAAAGAAAGAAAGAAAGAAAGAAAGAAAGAAAGAAAGAAAGAAAGAAAGAAAAGTGTGGGGAGCAGATGAAGTCCTGAGTGAAGGTGTATTATCGATGTTAACATAGCCATGTCAAGGACCCCGTTGATAAGACCTGTGGGAATGGCAGGGCCTTCTCCCGGTCAGGCTCAGAGGAATGGCAAGGCCTTCCGTGAGTGTGAGAGTGCGGATGCTGACAGTGTGTGCATTTTGAAAGCCCAGATGATTGAAGCCTGAGGTGGCTCCCCTGCAGAGACCCCCCCAAAGAGATTAGCTAACTGTCCTCCCTCAGCTCAAGTAATAAACTGGCTGGGTTTCCAGGCTGCTGGGATGTCTCCCACCAGCGCCCCAGGTTTTCAGTATGCACGTCTGTTATTTCTTCATTCCCCATTGCCCAATCAGGCCAATCTCAAAGCCCTGCTGGTGGAAACAGGAAAAGAAAGAAAAATAAAGAAAAGCAAAAGAACCTGGCCTGGTGGCGTAAGCTTTTAATCCCCTTGGGAAGAGGAGGCAAGCAGATGTCCAAAGAGAGACCCTGTCTCAAACATATAAATACATACACACACACAAAAAAAAAAAAATATTAAAGGTAAGTTACAGCTGGGCAATGTGGTGCATGACTTTAATTCCAGCACCTGGGAGGCAGAGGCAGGTATATCTCTGTGAGTTCAAGGCCAGCCCAGTCTAAAGAGTGAGTTCCAGGACAGCCAGAGGTACATAGTGAGACCCTGCCTGGAAAACAACAACAAAACAAAAAATAACAACAACAAAATCCCCAAACCAAAAAGATAAATTGCACAGTAAGTGATTTACATCTCAGTGAATCTGTTTGTTCTTGCTGTATGAAATAGGGTCTCATATAGCCCATGCTGGTCTGGAACTTCCTATGAAAACAGGCTAGCCTTGAACACCTCTTGTCTCAGCTCCCATGTACTGGAATTAAAGGCATAAGCCACTATAACCACCTACTAAAGCTGTTACTAATGCAAATTAAAACTCCTGACTATCCTGATTATCAAGATCTAACCATCCCAGGCACTGGCCAGGACACTCCACATCCTCTTGTGAAGCCAGAGCTAGGCTATCACTGTTCCTCCACAGACGACAGGGGCTGACAGATTGGTCCCAGGTGCCACCAAAGTAACAAGAACAACGTTAGAACTCAAGTCCCCCTGACTCTGAGACTAAACCTTGTCCCATGTTAGAATGAGAAGGAGCTATCACACGAACACCTGGCCGGGCTCTTGGAGTGTCATCCCCCTGAAGAACTGGTGTCGCCCTTCAGAGGCACTAAGACCCAGAGGGAGATGACTCAAAGCATAATTGATGGCTCCAACTTGGGCAGGAACCTCTGATTTTGCACCATTAAGCCCAGGTCATCCTGCCCTTGGAGCTGCCTTCCCAAAGGCTTCCTCTGCCCTCTGCCACCCCAGTGACTGCCTACCCTCACTGGATTGGCATCAAGTCCCTCTGAAACTTCCTAGTTGGTTGCTTTCTCTTTCCTAAAACATAAATGAGGTTCCTGGGCTCGTAGCCCGGCCCCGTCTGCTTGCTGGGTAGGAGAAACAGGACAGACATGAGTAAGCGATCACGAGGGGGAGAAGCCGTTCATTCATTTTTGTGCTTGTGAGTGGCCCCCGCCGATCACAGGCGCCAGGCACCAAGGACACGGCACTGTCCAAAACACATCAGACCTGTCCTTGCAGAGCTCACAGTTGAGAGATGGAAGGGACAGGGAAAAGGCCCCAGTCCCTTCCTTTCAGCCTTCCACAAGACAGAGCCTGAATGACATTGGATGGCACCTACATGGGACCCACACAGCACAAGATCCACTTGGGGGCATGTGATTGGGCTCCAGGGCCATTGCCATTGGGCTAGGCATCTGTGGACATCCCGTCCACTGTATTTTAATGAAACCAGCATTATTTTTCACTTGTTTGTTTTCCTTTTTAAGCATTATTTTTAAATTTATTTATTTATTTTTAATGTGCATTGGTGTTTTGTTTTGTCTGTCGGGTCTCCTGAACTGGAGTTACAGACAGTTGTAGGCTGCCCTGTGGGTGCTGGGAACTGAACCTGGGACCTCTGCAAGAGCAGCCTGTGTTCTTAACCGCTGAGTCATCTCTCCAGTCCTTTCAGCATTATTTTTTAAACAGTCCCTCAGCTTACTGTCCCAGGGAGAGATATGGAGAACATAACAATTCTGAGACAATTCCTAAGGAAGAGATGAGGTAGGAAGCATGTAAATGGATGACTCCCAGGGACAGACCCCTCCACCTTCACCTCACCCACAACCCCTGGAAAGCCAGCTCTTTGCACTTATCCCTGGTCCTGGCTGCTGTTGCCCGGTCTGGGGGGTGCAGGGGGGAGCAGCCCAAGGCTCCACTCAGAACGGAGGCAGCAGTCAACAGGTATGAGGGTGCTGCCCAGTCCCAGACCACACACGCTTTGGGCTTGATTTTTCTGTGATACTTTCTGCTTTCTCCTCATTCGTAGACCATGTCGAGGAAGAGAAACGGGACAGAAGCTGACTGCAAGTTTTCAGTCAACTAACACACACTGACATCTGTAATCTATCAGCTTTCCGTCATCCAATACACACCGAC